TGAGGCTGCTGATATATACCAGAACACCACCCACTGGGAGGGAGGATTTGCTTCGATGAGGCTGCTGATATATAACAGAACACTACCCAATGGGAGGGGGGATTTGCTTCGGTGAGGCTGCTTATATATACAAGAACACTACCCAAAGGGAGGGGGGATTTGCTTCGATGAGGCTGCTGATATATACCAGAACACCACCCAATGGGAGGGGGGATTTGCTTCGGTGAGGCTGCTTATATATACAAGAACACTACCCAAAGGGAGGGGGGATTTGCTTCGATGAGGCTGCTGATATATACCAGAACACCACCCAATGGGAGGGGGGATTTGCTTCGGTGAGGCTGCTTATATATACAAGAACACTACCCAAAGGGAGGGGGGATTTGCTTCGATGAGGCTGCTGATATATACCAGAACACCACCCAATGGGAGGGGGGATTTGCTTCGGTGAGGCTGCTTATATATACAAGAACACTACCCAAAGGGAGGGGGGATTTGCTTCGGTGAGGCTGCTGATATATACCAGAACACCACCCAATGGGAGGGGGGATTTGCTTCGGTGAGGCTGCTTATATATACAAGAACACTACCCAAAGGGAGGGGGGATTTGCTTCGGTGAGGCTGCTGATATATACCAGAACACCACCCAATGGTTGGGGGGATTTGCTTCGGTGAGGCTGCAGATATATACCAGAACACCACCCAAAGGGGAGGGGGGATTTGCTTAGGTGAGGCTGCTGATATATACCAGGGCACCACCCAATGGGAGGGGGGATTTGCTTAGGTGAGGCTGCTGATATATACCAGGACACCACCCAATGAGAGGGGAGATTTGCTTTGCTGAGGCTGCTAATATATGCCAGAACACAACCCAATGGTTGGGGGGATTTGCTTCGGTGAGGCTGCTGATATATACCAGAACACCACCCAAAGGGGAGGGGGGATTTGCTTAGTTGAGGCTGCTGATAAATACCAGAACACAACCCAATGGTTGGGGGGGTTTGCTTCGGTGAGGCTGCTGATATATACCAGAACACCACCCAAAGGGGAGGGGGGATTTGCTTAGTTGAGGCTGCTGATATATACCAGAACACAACCCAATGGGAGGGGGGATTTGCTTAGTTGAGGCTGCTGATATATACCAGAACACAACCCAATGGTTGGGGGGATTTGCTTCGGTGAGGCTGCTGATATATACCAGAACACCACCCAAAGGGGAGGGGGGATTTGCTTTGGTGAGACTGCTGATATATACCAGAACACAACCCAATGGGAGGAGGGATTTGCTTCGGTGAGGCTGCTGATATATAACAGAATACCACCCAATGTGATGGGGGACTTGCTTCAGTGAGGCTACTCATAGATACCAAAAACACCCCGCAAATGGAAGGAGGGGATCTTGATGTCCAACTATATAAGAAGCAGTAAGACCACAACACTAAAGATCAAGGAGTCCAAAATGAAGTCTTATTAGATAATCAAAAGAACAAAATACAACACATGTCAGGTGTCTTTACACTTCTCCTTCATAGTGTGTATAGTCTGTGATCTCAAATATGGCTGAACTCAAACGGATTGTATAGTATAGAGAAAGCCAGCTTGTTTCAGGTGTTCACAAACTTCCCCTTTTATCAGGGCTTGTGAATTTTATAATCTCAGATATGGCCGGACTTCCCCTTTCATCAGGGTTTGTGTATTGTGTATCAAATTCGGCTGGACAAGACCAAACTGTAATATTAGTGTTTGATTTCTTTCTACTGATGATCCAAAAAAACATCACTTTGGACTCTTTGACCATTGGGGTGACACTTTTGCTGCTTCTTGTAAAGTCAGACTCTTTATAATCATCTATGTCACTGCTGGGGAGATTGACCCTCTCTGTTTGCCGTGGTATCTATAGTCAAAATGAGGATCAATATACATTTTTAGAGTTGTCAACATAGCAAGAGGTGAGGGAAGCTCCCCCAATATGAAAACCTCTTCCTGTGACAACTCTTAAGGAAGGAAAGCCCATTCACCTTGGAGAGATTCCTTCTCATTTCCTGTTGCTCCTCAAGGACAGGAAGTGAAGGTACATCTCCCCAACTCAGACAGCAAAACATTACCATGTAGGGAATTCAACCCATTTCTACTCTTCCTACAACCAAAAAAAAAAGCGTTGGCCCTACATACACTTTAAATGTTGCTCGTCAGATTTGCCGTTGAGTTTTGCGCATCCTGTACATACGTTTTTTTCCCCCCGGATAGTTCTCTTTTGAACGCTCCCTCGTTGAAGAGGATTCACCTGTTCAGTGATTGATCTGCATATATTGTCCAGTTTAACTGGTGGTACTTTGTTTAATCACCACTTTGGCGGGGGGGGGGAGAGACACTTGTATATAATCCTTTATAAATAAAATATATAAATCTTTATTAAAGATTCAACCTTTTCTGTGGGATTTATCAGGTGCTGGGATAACAATTTGATGTTAATTGGCTACATGGTTGCCATACAGTAAAATATGTGTGTGTGTGTGTGTATATACAGGTGAAACTCGAATAATTAGAATATCGTTCAAAAGTAATTGCAGTAATTGCTGCAAAAGGGGCCCAAACCAAGTACTGAGTACATATGCATGCTTGTACTTTTCAGAGGTCCGATATTGTTCTATGTACAATCCTTGTTTTATTGATTGCATGTAATAT